TGTCCTGTGATTGCTGTGGGTCCTGTCCCTTCAAACCTCCTGGTAACAGATACTCAAGAACCTTCTAATTACTGCCCCTTGCTTTAAGTGTGGCTTCTGTTTTAAACACAGTATTTGAAACCACTGGACAACCAGCTGTTCTAAAGGATAAGTATTAACGGATATTCTTACTGAACATCACCATTTTAATGGGCACTTTAAAAAATTATATTCATTGTACAGATTTTCATGAACTTTGAAGTGAGCCAGGAACCAAATTAAAGCCAAAATATTACATGAGATATTGGCCAAACCTAATATGCTGGGAAACAACTTGACTATCATTAACTGTTTTGGCCTCAAGAGTTATGACTGCTTCACTTTTCAGTCCTAGCTCACTATGACAGATGTCTCTCAGGGCCTAGAATCTGGGCTTTTTTTTCTTCTTCTGCACTATACAGCTTGTGGGATTAGTTCCCTGACCAGGGACTAAACCTAGGTTTCAGCAGTGAAAGTGCCTAGTCCTAACCACTGGATTACCAGGAAATTCCCTTTGTGTTCTTCCTGAGTAATCATTTATATAATACATAGATAGTACTGCCTAAGTACTATCCCTAATTTGTGTGAGGTCATGTTCTAGGTGCTTATATATATATTCACTTCCTCAGTTCAGCAATCCTGAGGTAGGTACAGTTATCTCCATGTTACAGACGAAATGGTGACTTAGGATAACTCACCCACCCAAGGAGCCACACAGTTGGTTAATAATGAGTGAAGATGTGGGCTCAGACCCCGTGCTCTGTAAGAGCTGTAATAAAAGTAGCACACGGGAGGGGCCGGTGCTAACTCAAGCCAGGAAGGTGTCTGCAAAGGTGACTTCTGAGCTGAGCTATACAGAATACATAGCGGTTAACCAGTGGGGTGAAGCACAAGCTGGAATCAAGATTGCTGGGAGAAATATCAATAGCCTGATATGCAGATGACACCACCCTTACAGCAGAAAGTGAAGAGGAACTGAAGAGCCTCTTGATGAAAGTGATAGGGGCATGAAAAGGCCAGTTTAAAACTCAACATTCAACAAACAGATCACAGCAACTGGTCCCATCACTTCATGGCAAATAAACGGGGAAACAATGGAAACAGACTTTATTTTCTTGGGCTCCAAAATCACTGCAGATGGTGACTATAGTCATGCAATTAAAAGACACTTGCTCCTTGGAAGAAAAGCTACAACCAACCGAGATCTATTAAAGGTCTAGATCAACCTAGCATATTAAAAAGCAGAGACATTACTTTGTCAACAAAGGTCCCTCTAGTCAAAGACAGGATTTTTCCATTAGTCATGTATGGATGTGAGAGTTGGGACCAGAAAGAAAGCTGAGCGCCGAAGAGTCGATGCTTCTGAACTGTAGTGTTGAAGAAGACTCTTGAGAGTCCCTTGGACTGCAAGGAGATCTAACCAGTCAATCCTAAAGGAAATCAGTCCTGAATATTCATTGGAAGGACTGATGTTGATGCTGAAGCTCCAATGCTCTAGCCAACTCATGCAAAGAACTGACTTACTGGAAAAGACCCTGATGCTGGGAAAGATTGAAAGCAGGAGGAGAAGCGGGCAACAGAGGATGAGATGGTTGGATGGCATCGCTGAAACAAAAGACATGAATTTAAGCAAACTCCAGGAGATAGTGATGGACAGGGAAGCTTGGTGTGCTGCAGTCCATGGGGTCACAAAAAGACATGACTGAGTGACTGAACTGAACTGAAAGAGCAGACTGATGGGAAGTGAAAGACTAGTTAGGTTATTGTAAAAGTCTTTAAGAGATAAAAGGGGCTTAACCTACTGAAGGAGTGGAACAAAAAGCAGGTTAGAGCTAAGACATACCTTGGAAAAACTAACATGATGCGGACATGAGCAATAGGGTAAACAAATACACCATTTTCCAAGATGCAGGATTCATGAAAATAAAGACATCATGTGTGTGTCTCAGTCATGTCCCAACTTTGCAATCCCATGGATTATATATAGCCCGCCAGGCTCCTCTGTCCATGGAATTTTCCAGGTAAGGATACTGGAGTGGGTTGCCATTTCCCACTCCAGGGGATCTTCCCAACCCAGGAATGGAAACCTGAGTCTCTTGTGTCTCCTGCATTGGCAGGTGGATTCTCTATAACTGCACAACCTGGGAAGCCCAAAGATGGGGAGGGCGGGGCTCGACTGAGGTCCTTGTGGACATCAAAGTACAGCTATCAGGTGGGTCTATGTCCCCTGGCACTCCTGGGAAAGATGGAGTTAGAGGTAGAGATGGTGGAGGCATGAATGTAAAGTCTGAAGCCATGGGTTTGGTGAGCCAGGAACTCATACAGAAAAATGATGAAGAGGTGCCAGCGTAAGAGGAAGAGTCAACAAAGGAAATTTGAGTATGTAGAGGAGGAGAGCCAGAGGGGCTTGTCAGGAATTGGGAGGAATTTGTTCACAATACATCCACCTAAAAAGTGGCTGTGGAGATTAACTTAGGGTAAAATGTGCCTTTTAGATTAATAACAAACCCTCAGAAGTGGTTTACTGTTGTTATGTAATAATTATTTATGAAGACTGTGGCCACAGGTAGAGGGATTTTGATTTACCCAAAGCCAATCAATGGTCCAAATGGGATTCAAACTCAGAACAGCCGGCTCAGAATCTTTTGCTGTTCTATTTTTGTGGTTTCATCAGATGGCCCACTGCATATACAGTGTCCTTATGGGGCTTCCCTGGTGGCTCAGAGAGTGAAGAATCTGCCTGCAATGTGGGAGACCTGGGTTCGATTCCTGGGTTGGGAGGATCCCCTGGAAGAGGGCATGGCAACCCACTCCAGTATTCTTGCCTGGAGATCCCCATGGACAGAGGAGCCTGGCAGGCTACAGTCCGTGGGGTCGCAGAGAGTCAGACATGATTGAGCAACCAGGCACAGCACGTGGGACAAGATGTGACCTAGCCAGGGTTGGCTAATACCTGACACTCACAGACCCATGTTTCAGCTGCTTGCCCATAAAAAACATGACCAAACTATCATGTTACTATTTCCTAATAGTCTTTAAAAACTGCTCCAAATCCTCAGAAAGCACTCTAGCAGCTGCTACTGAATGTTTTGAATTGACACGTGAAATGAAGCCTGAGATAGGTTAAAAACAAATTATGGTCATAAAGAGGAATTTGGGTTCCGCCATACAATTTGTGTTGGCCAGTGGAATGTTACAAGCATCACACGAGGAGCTTGATGAGCACCTACATATCAGTGCTTGCCAGTCTTGCTGGCTAGATACTAGAAGTATGTGGCCCCCACCGTGCAACCACTTGACAAGTGGGTGGCTATCTTGGACCAATCAGTTTCCAGTAATCTGCCAGCTCACTTCAGCCACACGAGAGCCCAGATAAGATAGGCAGAACAATCACCCAGCTGGTTCACAGCCCAAATTGCCAAGCTACAGACTCAGAAGCAAATTAATGTTCACTAAAGGCACTAAATTTCAGAGTGGTTTGTTACACAACTGAAATAAGGCCCACTTAACTGTCTAGGCCACTGTCTAACCCCTCACACAGATGAGCAAACCGAGACCCAGCAAAGAAAAAGAACTGCTAGAGTCACAAATCTTACTGGCAGCAGTACAGGTGGGAGAGTCTTAGTTCCCAATCCAGGAAACCCAACAGCAATGGGAATCTACTAGGATCACAACTGATACTTTAAGATCTTGAAAATATCTAGAGAATGTCAGTCCTTTGGGCAGAATCAGATATCACATTTCTTCATGATCTTTTGTTTTTCAAAGGTTGGAAAGAAAAATGAAACCTACGGAGCTCTCCTGGTCCCAGACACAGGGAGGACAGGCCTGTGTGTGCAGGGTTTTGTGGATGTGAACGTCCCGACTCAAGGGCCCAACTCTGGGCTTTCTTAGTGGCTGAAGTAGTTCTGGGGCTTTTCTGGGGTGCCAGGTTAGGGAATCCCAATACCTACTCCAGGGTATTTCCTGGTCCCAGGGTGATTAGACAGGGCCTCTGGGTAGGGCAGATGCTTCCAACCCTGGCAAGGGTTTTCTCTGCTCTTCTGGTGGCCTCTGCCTGGCATATTAAGCAAGCACGTGGCCCCTGCTGTTCTACCTGTCCCCCCAGCTCTGAAAAGTGAGTGCCTCAGTCTAGCATACTGAGTAGGCCCTGTGCAATCTGGAAGTGTTATATACAGTACAATGGACACACAGCACTAAGCTGTGGGGACACAGGAACATGGAGTCAGTCTTCGTGTAACGTTCACCAGGCACCAAAACCCCTTCTTTAGACTCTGCCCAAGTCCCAGTCCAGGGCAGCACTTCCCTGCCTTGAACAGAGAGAGATGTGCAAGGGGGGGTCAGCAAGAGCTGGGCTTGACCTTCTGGGTGCGAGGACAGACTGCAGGTTCAGGGACCAGAGTGCTATGCTGCAGCAAGGGCCCTTCAAGGGTAGAGGCGCTTCCAGCAACCCTTTCCTCTGGACACCCTCTTCATCTCTCCAGACTGACCAGTTCCTCGGGGTTACTTTTCAGTTCAGGTCTCGATCTCTGACTCATGGCCTCAGCTACTAGCCTCTCTCCCCTTACTGCCCAAGATCCCTGTGAAAAAAACAAGTGTCCTAAGCCAGGACCCAGAAGAGGAGAAAGTGGGGAACTGCAGAGCCATTTTAGAGCTGGGAAAGACCAGACTTACTGAGATCGAGGCCTGAACCTAGCACTGCCTGACAAAGAGGATCAAAAACCATTTGGTACTTCAACCAGTGTTCTTGTGGGCACTGACACATTTGACCCTCCCCGACAACACTACTGGTCATTTTAATCCCTGTTTTAGCCATGGACACTACTTCCCAGGAAGATCAGTATTTGGCACTCTGGACACGCGCTCTGGCAGGGAGGAGTGAAGGGGAGAACAGAAGGGCATGCAGCAGACCTGCTTTCTTGTTGGACAGGAGGCCCATGGTTCCTTCACAAAAAAACACAACCATCCCATCTCAGAGCAAGTTGGGATCCAATCTCTTTATTGTCAAGGTCCCCTCCCTGTGGGCCCCACCCCCCTCCAAACCTATAGAAAAACCCCAAGCCTGGGAATGTCCTGGGGAGGGGAGGCAGAGTATAGGGAGACTGTGCTCTGCCCTCTGGCCTGGGCAGTGCCAACAGGGAGGGTACGTGAGGAAGGGATGCTGATAACTCCACCTGCAGAGAACGCGCCACTGGCTGATACACGTGAGGGAGGTGGTGCCTGCAGCCAGCTCTCCTCTGGGACCCGCTGGGGGTGCTATCCAGGGGTGGGTGCCCAGCTTGAGGCCTGGTACAGTGTATGCCTTTCTCCTGCGGGTGGCCATCGCTCCTGTCAGACTGAGAGAGACAAGAGAGAACTAAGGCTGAGAGGAAGAGCCCCTCTGTGCTCTAGGTAACATGGGCTGGGAAGATAAGAGTGCAATGGCGCTTGCTTTTGCAGACACAGGTATGCCTGTGCCCTCACTCTGGCTTCCTAACTTTCTGGCCATGAAACCTTGGGTGAATCTCCTCCTTCCCTAAGCCTCCATGTCCTCACCTGAGTCCCCAGCACCTCTCCTTCAAACTGGCTGAACAAGGTACAACTTAGCCTCCCAGGTAAAACAAATCACGAAGACTGCCTAAACTTAAAGGTATGGTGGAGCATACACACGCTAGCAGCACGAGTGTGTCATGTATAAAGATATCTCTGTTGTTTGAGACCTTCCTCCACCCAAGTCCGTCATACCCTGGAAAGTGTCCCCAAAGGAATGGGGCAGAGTCAGGGCAGAGCTGGTGTGGCCTGGCTTCCCTCTAGGTGGGGCAAAGCAGGGTGGTAAATAGCAACCAGAGAGTGAGCCTTGAGGCCACACAGTAATGGGTTAGAATCTAGGCTCCACCAATGACCACCTTGGGATCCTGTGGGATATGTGCTTTATCTACTTGCCCTCTTCAGCGTTCAGTTTCTACATCTATTACACTGGCACAATCACAACCCTGCAGGGCTGGGACACACAGGACATTTCCTCCCAACAGGATCCAACCCCAGCCCCAAAGGCTAGCATAATCATCACCCTCTGAGGACGAGCAGCTCCCTCTCCCTACTGGGCAGAGCTGGGACTGCAGCTGCAGAAGACTAGCCCATTTCCCACACACCAAGGATTGCAGGTGTTCTGCCCCTGCTAAAGGTGTTCCCTTAGGTGCTTTTCCCTCAGTCCTCAACAGGCTCGGATACACGTCACCTCTTCCACCGCACCCCTCTTTCACTCCCTGCCTCTCCAGTCCCTGTCATTCTGCTCACACTGGGTGGTAATGGTCTGTCTTCCTCCACTAGACTCAGAGCTCCTTACAAGTGGGGACAGGGAATGTGGCTGGGCACATGCTGAGGGAACTCCTGTTGGGTAGACCTGGCTAGCCCAACCATGATTCCTGATCCATGACCCACCAAGCCCCACCACAAATGGGCATGGCAGGATGACGGGGGACCAGAGAGCCTTCATTGATGGACACAGCACTACCCTGCCAGGTCTACTTCATGGCAGGCCCTCTACTTCACCCTTCCCCACCAGGACCCCCATACCTGCTTACTGCAAGGCCCCATCCTCCGCATCTGTGTCCTGGCTGTGCTCCTGAAAGGAGGAGACAACAAAGGGACCACACATCACTCACGGCAAGTCTGTCCTGCCCTGGGGCCCAGAGCATATATGGACACCACATTCGGAAAGGGGGAGGGACAGTCAAAGGGAATAAGTAGGGGACCAGTCTAAATGAATAAGTAAGGCTGCCTCGGGATTCCAACAGGGCAGTCTGAGGGCCCCTCAGGATAGAGAAAAGACCAGTCAAGGAAGTTCTAGGTGTGGCAGGGGACACATTCTCCATAGAAAGACCTTCTCAGACTGGAGCAGACTGAAAGCCTAGTAGACTGGTGAGCTCCCCATCTTAGAAACATCTAAGCCTTCATTAGGACCATTATGAAGACTATGCCTGAAAAGAGTAAAATGGGGTCTCTGGCTAGGTTCAAATAAGAAGAGACAGGCTGGGCATGAGGAAGACCTCTCCACTGTTATGGCCACAAACCCATCTATCCTCATACCAGGACCCAGCCATATGAAGACCCACTCAAGTCCAGGCTCCAATCCTGGCTCCACCCTCATTAGCCACAAAGCCCTGGGACAAGGTACTTGACTCCTCTGAGTTTCAGTTTCTTCATGCGGTAAATGTAACAAAAGTAAAACTTTGAACAGTTCAGGGCTACTGTTAAGGTCAAATGAAGTTAAAAACTGAACTACAGGGCCTGGTGCTCAGTAAGTATGAGGTAGAGGAGTAGTAGGCACACCTCGCCGTCAGAATCTGGTCGACCTTTCTAACTTAAGAGGAGCTCCTTGCCTCAATCTGAAGAATTTCAATACCAAACAGGAAGCTTGCTCGCCCCATCCTGAGACAGCCTGAGTCAAGGTCAGGCAACAATGGCTTTTAGAAAATTCTCAGGAGGAGCAGAGCGCTGCACTCCCTGTGGCTGCCCCAGGCAATCCCCCTCTCCTATTCCCTGGAACTCTGCAGGCCATGAGCCCTTGACTCTTCCCTTCTCCAACTCAGGTGGAAGATGGAGTCTAGAATGGGCCTTGGGATAGAGAGGGCCACCACAGTCTTCTGTGGGGTTTCTGACTGACAGCTGAAAGAGCTAAGTACTCTCTGTTCATTTCCCCCTCTTCCTCATAGGATTAGAACCCCTGGCAAGGAAGGAGGGCGCGCACAGGGCGACCAAGCAGTCAAGAGGTCCCCCCCTACTCCTTGCAGCCCTCCTGCAACCAGAGGTACACAGCCCAGTCCCAGCCACCCCCCAAGGCAGGCCCTCACCAGCTCTTCCTCGCTGTGTGTTAGCAGCCCCTCCTCATCGCCATCGTCTCGAGCCTGTGCTTCTCCCTGGGGCGTGCCTGCCTCAGAAGCTGTGTCTTCCGGGGGGACCGGTGGCCGACTGCTGCCACCAGTACCGCTGCTGCCGCTGCCACCACCGCTGCCGCCGCCACTGCTACTCTCGCCCTTCTTTTTGCCATCTTCAGGGAAAGGGATGAGGAAGGGAGAATAAAAGTCAACCTGGGGCACCTGCCCAGGGGAGCACCTTGGTAGAACCAAGGCCTCAGCAAGGTGGGTCCAGGTGGGATCGGAGGCCACAGCCCCTTCTCTGCCCCGTGCATCATCCTCCCCACGCTCTGCCCTGTGCCCCTGCTCACTTATCTGGGCAAGGACCCTTGGAAGCTGACCTGGATTGGCCTTTTGCTCCTCGGCAATCTGCTCCAAGCGCCCCAGCAGGGCGTCAATGTTGGACTTGATCTGGGTCAGCTCTGTCTTGATGGTCTGCAGCTCACTGCTCTTTACTGAGAGTGGAGGGAAGTACAGGGATGTCAACTGAGGGCTGGGAGCTTGACACTAACACTAGACCTTAGCCCCATTCTGTCAAGCAGGAAGATAGGCCAATGGCAGAGACGGTCCTCGTCCATGGTCTTTTTATGGCCAGGGAGAGGCCAGAGCTGCCTGAGGCACCCCCTGAGGCTTTCTGGAGGTCATTCCTACAGTGACCGGCCTGGATTTCCTCCCCACCCCCAGGAAAGGGACAGGGATGGATAAAATGGAGGTGTGTGGTATGTACCTCTGTGGGCACCTGAGCAAGCATGTTTCTCTGCTATGTTATAGGATGGTATCTGTCTTTCAAGATATGTAAATGTGAGTGCTTTACAATCAGATTTCCTGAGTGCCTGACCACATGTGCAGACCAGAATGACTGTGGGGAAGCGAACCTGTGTGGACCTGTCCTTGTCCCGACTAAAAAATGACACCATTTCCTCACTGAACTCCAAGTCACAGCACAGCCCCACCTCCACAAGTGTTAGTCTTTTCCTCGTAGAAATGCATGAAAATACTCACTTGGTTGTATTAGAGCAGCAGAACTGTGGGAGATTTGTTCCTTTATCTATTTTCCAATGTAAAAAAATGTGATTCTATTATTTTGCTAATGACAAAATGAAAATTATCTAGGAAGAAGATAGAGTCACTCACACTTGATCTTGGCTGTGCCGGTGGTGATGGCTGTGGAGCGGGCAAAGAGCTTGACAGGTATGGTAGTTTTGACACGTCGGACCAAGGGGACGGTGACCCGGGGTCGCTTCACAGGGACTGCTCTGGGCACTGGCACTGGTGACAGGCGGCCCCGATAGTCGAAGAGCCTGTGAGAGCAAATGGGCCAGAGGCTGCAGCATGGCCTGTGGCCAGCAGGGGGCACTGTGGCCTTAGACCAACACATGTAGGGCTGGTGAAGGGATGGGCAGCCTGCACTGCATACCTTTGCCTGCTCCCAGTAAGTCCTGAGGGTGAAAAGGAAGGCCTTTCTGGACTTCAACAGCTACTGGGATCCTTACTACATCCACCTTTCCTACCATCCAGGCTGAGTAAGGGTAGGGGAGGTGACAAGGGTTTACAGCCCCATTCAACAGAGGAGCAAACTGAGAACTGCCCCCAGACAGACTTCCTAGATCACCCTAATGCCCAGGCCTGCTCTACTACCTGACTTGCCTTCTGCTCAGTCAACTTGCACCCTAAGCTCTGGTCAGAGTTTGCAAATCTCCCTAAAGCAGTACAAATGCCCAACTGGACAGAGGTGTGGGAGTGGGAGTCAATTCCTCAGCCTGCCTGAGCCTCAGTTTTCCCACATGCCTAGGGAGGATGACCACCCCAAATTCTATCCTCCCACATCCCCACAAGACTGCCGTGAGGGTAGAACATGAGAGAACTTAGTTTAAAACACACATGTTAGAAAGTGTGATAGGTGAAAGGCCAGGGTACTGAGACCCTCAACTCAATGGGCCTATGACCTCAGAGGCATGAGGCTGGACTCCAAGCCCCTTTCCTCATTCTGGGCTCCCAATCACCATATCCTTCTCACTCCACTTAGGGGGTGGGAGGGTGGTGGCAGGAGGCCCAGTGGAGTATCAAGGTTGAGCAGCTCAGTCAGACCCTCTGTCCCAGACAGTATGCTGCCCCCCAAAGCCATCACTCAGCCCTTTCCAGGAGGGCTTCTTTTCCTTATCAGGCAGGAGCTCCCGTAGGCTGAATAGGGGTTTCTCCCACCACTGCTGCTCCTACCACCTCCCTGCAGCATCACTGTCCTGATGACAGCCAGGAAACCTGCCGACAGGAGGCAATGCAATGACCCATGCCTAGGTAACTCCTTTGTTTAGGGAGCTCCTGCCCTGGGGTGACGATGGCTGGAGATGGAGAGTCTCTGGGAATGGATCCAGTCCCAGACCCTGCATTTCTGCCCCTAAGGGGAGGGGGCGGCTCTGGCCTTGGTCAGAATCTCTGAACCACAGAATCCCAGAGCTGGAAGAGCCCTGAGGGATCACTTGATGCAAGCCCATTTCAGACTGGGAGGGGATGTGCCCAACGTCATGTAATTCATTCAGTGGCAGAGCTGAGATTAGCACCCAGGTCTTCTGACTCCCAGGCAAGGGCACTTTCTACCACACTGCACTGTCTCCTGAATCCTCTCTCAGGTGAGAAAACTGAGACTCAGAGAGGTTCTATTCTTCCTGGACAGCCTGGGGAAGGCTGAGAGGGTGGGAGGGAGACAGAAAAGTGGAAGGAGAAGTTTGGGCCAGCCCCCACCATGATTTCCACAAGTATGTGGCTGGTGCCATGGAGGTTGGGGTCTGGGTGGGTTTGGGGGGTAGGTCATAGCCTACCAGGCACTAATTCAGACTTCCCAAGGAGGGCTGGCCCCCTGGGTATAAACACAAGGCTAAGTGGCTCAGGCTGAGTGCTGCGGTGCCTTCAGCTGGCTGGGCACTCAGGGAGTTAATGAGGAAACTGCACAGCAGCGTGAGGGCTCAAATTCCCTGCACCTGGCCCCGCACTCCAACTTGCTACATGTATATATCCCCTGGCTGGCCAGTCCCATCAGGTCTCACCCCAGGACCAGGAGGAAGAGAGGCAGTCAGAGAGCTGGGAGACAGTGTGGGCTGGGGAGAGCTCTGGCCTGGGCACCTACACAACTGGACCCTAGTCCCAGCTCTGCCAACAACTTGTGGAGCAGCCCTGGGAAGATGACTATCCACAACTCTGGGCCTCAGTTCCCACTTGGAGGACTGAGTGGGCTGCACCAGCAATCTCTCAGAACCCTTCCAGCTTGGCTGTTTCATGCCTGGGCACGCCCCTCCCCCGCTCACCTGTCGTAGAAGTCGTCCCGGTAGTAATCATAGTCAAAGCTGTAGCCACTGGGGAAACAAAGGGGAGAGGGCCGGGGCTTAGAGATGGCCACTCAGCCCACTCTCCACAGGCCCTCATCTCCAAACACCTCCCCAAATTCTAGGCTTGGCATCCCATCACCACCAAATCTCCCTCTGTGCAAAGAGGGACCAATCCCACCCAGACAGAGACAAACAAGACAGAGTGCCCCACCTGTATATGGCAGATGCTGCTCTCTTTAGCCCCTTGGGTCTGTTGGGCTTCGGCTCTCCAGCCATGTTGATGTCTGTATGGAGGGAAGAGGCAGAGTCAGATGATGATATATTATCAGTGCCCATACACCCATCACCCCCATGGACACATACAGCAATGTAAGTGTTTACACGAGATGCACATGGACTGTACTCCCTAACATGGACAACAGAGGTCTTCATAAATAGACTCATACATTACATACACATAACTTTACATGTTCTTATACATTCAGACATATGCAGGCTTACAATCATACACGCACACACAGTGTACATCAAATTATATGCATTCCCAAGCTCTCTCACATAAGCATAGACATCAAACACACACCCTCAGGCATATGTTCACGTATCCAGGAAATAAGATCACACACTCAACTTCACTCACACTTGGCTCCAGCATCCTAAACGTAACTGCCCATATGCAAATGAGCCGGTGCACATTCACACCAACCTTTCATTGAACATCTTTATGTCTAGAGTAGAGTTCAACAAATCTCAGGAACTCAATAAACACTTGGTAAATGAATACATGCACATCTGCTCACACACTCAAGTACATTCTGATACTTGAAAAAAGCTGGCTGGGCACTACATATATACCCAGAAAGTAAGGTGTGTGTCCACATATTCTCCAAGTGACTAGTTGCATACACATACCACATATTTAGCAATACACAGATACATATCCCTTCTCAAACATACACAAATACACAGAAGTAAGTGAACATATACAAACACTACACATGCTTCCAATGTGGCCACATCACACACATGTAACACCAAGACCAAGCTTCACCTCATGCTCCCCTCCTCCTGGCTCTCAGAATGGGTTCTAACCCAAGCCAAAAGCAGCCCAACGTAAGAGGCTGTGCTAGTCCACTCTCCCCTTTCTCTGGGGAATCTGCATTTTAATTGGAACCCTTTCACTGTGAAAGCAGGCACAGAAGTGTTTGCCTGAAACTTCTAAAATTCTCCCACAGAGGCACTACCCATAACTTAAACATAATTAACTTAATAACTATTTAAGTTAAAACATCTCAGACAGGGGTAGTGGGTTATGGGAGACAAGACAGAAGCTAAAGAATATGGGTCAGCACCTGCCCAGGAAAAATCCTGGGGCAGGGCCATGAAGAGATGCTTACCCAGGGTCTGGCCGGCCAGCACTCGCCCATTCTCTCCCACCACAGCTGCCCGGGCATGGCGCTCATTGGCATATTGGACAAAGGCATAGCCCTTGTGCACAGAACAGCCAGCCACACGGCCATACTTGGAAAAGATGGTCTCCACATCTGACTTCTTCACCACAGCTGTGTTGAGGTTTCCAATGAAAACCCGAGAGTTGATGGATTTGGGGTCATTCTTGTTGGTTACGTTGCTCGTCTGGATCTTCAAGGACATGTTAGCCACCTGAAGAAAGAAAGCCACTGTGAGGCTGGGATCTGAGTTGGGTTCACTGGCTGCTCATGACCCACAACCTGGCTTGTACACTGCATGGCTTTGTTCCTTCCTACACACATGCCCCTGTCACATCCAGCCTCCCCACCTGTGCTCGTTTCACTGGCTGGTGACCTCATACAGGTGCTTTACCTATGTTCTATTATATGATGCTGACGTGATGAGCAGAACCGGGACATTTTACATGGGAGGAAATGCAGCCAGAGGTCACAATGCCAGTGAGTAACAGGATAGGAATTTGAACTCTGTCTGTCTGATTCAATTCTTTTTTAATTAAGGTTACACATTGGTTTATAACATTACAAAAGTGTCATATTGACTTCCATTCTTTCAAACCCACTCCTTTAATGCTAATTTTGAATGTTACCCCTTGCAGGATCTAAATTTGAAGATCTTCCACAGTTTTTCTTCTGTTCCTTCAATGTAGAACCACAGCAAAGAGGTCAAGGGGTAACTGCAAGTAATGTTTGCTTTAAAACAGTATCATACTATGTACAGTCTGATCCAGACATGGACCATGGCTGTCTTTATTGGAACCAGCCATTTTAAAAAAGTGAGTTAAACCTCACTGAGCACAAAGGGTGGCATACAATAGTGAATAATTACAAGACTCCATAAGTGGTATCATTATCATTCATATTTTACAAAAACAGACTCCAGCAAGTTCATTAACCTGCCAGGAATAGGCATTCAAACCCAGGTCACCGGTCCATAAAGCCCATTTGTATCAAATTTATCACTCTCCTTCCCAGTGCTAAATCCAAGTTAAATACAGTTGAACCAATTATGGGTTTCAACTGCATGGGTCCATTTTATGTAAATGTTTGTCAATAGTAAATATTACAATACTTGCCCATGGCCCATGGTTCCTGTGGTTGGTTGAATCCACAGGTGTGGAAGAACTGTGGATACGGAGGAGGCAGACTGTAAACTAAACACGAATTAAACCCTGTACTAAGGGTCGACTGTACTACAGTAAGTCAGCACATTTATCTGAGTATTGTTTTTAACAACTTAATTTTTGGAGTTATCTATTTTATACTTACTATTCAAATTCTGTTCTCTTTGCTTACAGATACTTTCTCTGCTCTTTACTCTCTACACTCAGGCAATGTTTTTTTATCCCAAAGAGTTGTACAAATCTCTCCTACTCCCCTTTCTGGACAGGTTAGAATCTAGGCACAGGCTCCAAAGGGAAAGGGAAAAGGAGGTTCAGTTCCAGTAGGAAAGGCCTTGGCATTTATATTCTTGGCCCAGTGTTCTGCTCACTGGCATGGGTTGGTGCAACTCCCTTTTGGAACACTCTTATCTTGAATCTGACCCTAAAACTACTGGATAAAGTGCTAAAGAACCACCAACCAGTGTGCATAAATCAGCTTAAACTAACCATAAACACTTGCCTATTTACTTAATATTTGGGGGGAAGAGGGAACTTCTTTTTAGTGAATTACAGAGGACCTGAGTATAAGCTGGGAGATCTGTACCTTCTGTCCCACTAGGGTAGAAGGCCCTTTCTCATCAATCCTCCCAGCTTAAAAGTTGGTACTTTCTGACCAGCAGATGGCACTGTTTGCAAGGAAACCACAAGCTGGGCCTCAAGAGATTCTGGGGAAGAACCTGCTCCTGCGGTAGTTCTTACAGTAGCAAGGATACGCTGGGTGCATCATCACAGGAGATGAGGGGCTGAGAGGGCACTGCTTCTGATGAAGAGCCTGGTGCCAGCTTTGGAACTAGCCTGGAAGGACAGACTCCTGTTACTCAGTTTGCCTTTGCATCCAAGAATCAGTATGTATTAACCTAACCAGAGAGGGACACATAAGAGATTGCCCACGAAAACACTCAGCATACTGTTTGTATGAAGAAGGAAATGCTCAATGTATGTGGGTTCCACCTCACAGTTCTCTGACAATCCCTCTCCTACCTGGATGACAAGCCAGGTTCAAAGTTCGCATCCATGAGTATATAAGAAATTTGTGGGGCTCCTCCATGAGCATCAGATAACTCTCCCCGTTGGTTCAGCTCAAAGTCATGAAGTTTTGGCCCAGGAAGATGCCACCTGCTTTTGGCTGGAGGGAGCCAACCAGGTCAGGTGTGTGGACCAAGACAGAAAGAAGAGCAGGGGGGATGACAGTTCAGAGGTCTACTGGTGACTGCTGCTCCTGCCAGTTACCTGGCAGGGACAGGACCATAGCTGGGTCCCCTCAGACTTCTTCCTGTTCAGCACTGTTAATGACCTCGGCCGCTACTGAACAGGAAACACTGTTGTGTGTCTCTGCTTGGTGCTATAGCGGGATCAGCATTCATCCCTTGGCTGATGAGCCAAGTCCTCTGGGTTTGGCTCTACCCGGTCTTTGCTCTCATCACCTAGGGTTTGGGACAATGTATACAGAAGGACTTTACAAACTCTGAAGCTCTTAATATGAAAAATTTACTCTGACTAGTTGGAACATCTCTGTTCTACTAACACAGCCATTTAGGGGCTCATTCTAGATGAGAGTCAAGGTCAGACTGGAACACATTCTGTACAATGCCAAGGAGAAGAGGTCAGAAGCAGTATCAAACAGGGGTCAGTTTTCTGATCCACAAAGAAGAGACTTAGGAAATGTACACATGTGGCTGTTCTGCAAAGTCAAGGAGAAATGTCTGCCTGAAGCATGTTCCAGGCTGTATTCCCAATCTGCTTTCAAGGTCTACACACTCTTCAGAGGGCAGGCTGTGCTGCTGTTGCACATAATCTCAAAGGGCAGGTATCTTTGGGGGTTCAGAGGAATGGAGTTGGGGGTGCAAAATGAAAAGGAAGTGTGAAGATTCAGATATGGTCTTCCAGGGTGTTATGAACATACCAACTTGTTAGCCTCATTTAAAATAAGTCATAACCTTTGAATGTTTAGACACATGGTACGTGGATCTCCATCTGTACTCCTGTTCTACCTTGCAAATGTCAGAGGCAAGCCTGACAAAGTTGCACAGTAAATGCTCAATGAATGTTAGGAGGAAGCAGTGAGGATGATAATCCAGAAGGTGGTGAGAAGGGCTCGTGGTGGCCCTTAAATGGGCAAAGACAAGGGGGAGACTATATGAGACTGAGATTCTCAGGCACCTTTTTCTAGCCTAGGACACAAACACCCTGGTCCACACACCAATATCCCCAACTCAATCCTCTCCACACAATTCTATCTTGGCTCTTCCAGGCTTCCCACTAGGTTAAGAGTGGGAGCCCTAGAAAATACCGACATCCTATTCAGCAGAAGCTGCTTGACTTGATAAGCTATTTCCCCCCCCGGGCCAAGCTCTGCCTCACAGATTAGCTGTGTAATTGAAAGCAAGGTGTTTGCAGCCCCAGAGGCCCCATGCTTAGCGATGAGCTAATGAGAGGTGGGGAGAGGGATTGTTCTCGGAGGTGTGGGGGGGGTCTGGTTGGGGGTGGGGTGGGGATGGAGTCCAGAACCCAGCTTGTTTCCAGAGACTTCTGCAATGTCAGATTAGCAGGGACTTTAGTGAGCATGGAGCTCATATGCCCTTATTCTAAGGAAGAGAGGGGAATGGACTTGACCAGGATGCCATAGCCAGTGAGCAGCAGGGCCAAGAAACCCATGGGTCCCTCTGACTCTACGTCGTGGGTTCTTATATTTCATTGTTCCTTCTGAGCTGCTGAGAGACAAGCCCCCAGCATAGTGAGGAGCTTGGAAAAGACAATATAGAAACGCTATGTGTGAGAAAATTGTGGACTGGCTCCCAAATAAACATCTTCACCTTTACCTGCTGAAACAACTGCTGCATAAAAGCTGGGCCCTTAAGCTAATTAAAACCCACCAGGAACACAGGCTTTGAAATGCAATTTACAGCTCAAAGGACAGGCTTGCTCCTCTAGGCTAATAAGAACAGAGGAAATTTGGCAAAAAACAAATCGTTTTTCCCAGATGAAACATTTCAGATGGAAGCTGTATTGTGGAAGAGTCAAGCCTGAAGGTGGTAAAGTGCCAGAGCTTTGCAAAGGCAGAAAAGCCCTAAAAAGTACCTGCACCCCTGAACCACCCAGAGGGGCATCACATTAAGAATAGCCTCTAATTACTGACTGCAAGCTGTCAAGAGACTTTACATATTTTACTTAACTCTCACAACAGTCCTATGAGGAGGTCATTTAGATAGGGAAAGGAAGCTCAGAGAGACAATGTAACTGGTTAACAGAACAAAACCAGACCTGCACCCAGGTCTGACTCCAAAAAACCTGTGCACAGAGATGCCTTGGGTACTGATTCCCATGATGAGAATGTGTCACCCTGAGCCGGTCACATCCTCTCCTTGGTCCTTACCCTTTTCCCTTTTCTACTACAATGCCTCCCATCTGCATAGGATTTTAGTGAAGAAAGCCAGTTTCTATTCTTGGTCCTGACACTGTTAGTCCCATTTTATAGATGGAAAAGCTGAGGATCAGCAAAGATACATGACTTACTTAAGGTCCCCTGTTGGTGAAGGGAGTAGCTTGGGACTTGAATCCAAGCTTCCTGTGTGACACTCTACCTGCCACTGTCTCTACTGGCCTAAGCACTCTGGCTCTGCCTTACCAAGCCTCTCAGTGCTGCCTATCAGGACCTAGCCTTCAGCCTGACCTCTGAGGCACAAAACCATCGGAACAGTCCCTTCCCCAACTATATAAATCCTCCTCAGCACTGGATCTCCACTGCTCGTGGTCCTTACCTCCACCACCACCCCCCACCCTCCCCCACCACTCACCCCCATCCACCCAGTTTTACTTACAGCCTCTGTCTGGGTCAGTTCTGTGGGACAGCTCCAGCCTTATTCCCAAGACTGGAGATGAGTGGTCATAGCAGCCTGTGGCCAGACCTCTGCCCTTAGATAAGCCTGGAGACATTTGGGTGACTCTGAAGGAAAGCAGCTATCAGTGATGGGGAGACTATTTCTGGAGAAAGCCAAGCAATTGTACTGATCAGTACCCAGGGCCTCTTTGGTCCAGAGCCTTCTGGTTACCAGGCAGCTAGGGATGACAGAGCATCTATTAATCTCATTAAACTCGCCAGGCCTCAGCTCATTATCACTGCCCAAATGATCATTACTGGCCAGATAGGACTAATTTTCCAAGGAGTGCTCTCTAGTTCCTGACCATTCCCACTCCCACGAGAAATCTTAGCTCCCATCAAGCTGAACACTGAGGGCTCCTGGGATGGGTGGGAGTGTAAGGGGTCTAGGTTACATGTCCACGAGGCTTGGCTCTGCAGCTCACTCTTGTAACCTGCAACAAGTCATGAGATTTCTCGGAGCCTTGTCATCCTTATTCTAAAAACAGAAATAATCTTTTTCCTGATTACCTTTCAAATCCAATGATGTGAAAGTTCTCTATTGCCTCTGTAACATACTGTAGACAAACAGGGTATTACACTTATTTCTATTATTACCGAACTCCTAACCCCTTCACTAGGTGCTGGGAAACAGTGCCCACAGGCCTTGTCCTCTACTTGCTTTTTAAGAAAGCCTTCTCTTTAGGTACCTGTTCCTAAAAGCAAAACACTGCACATGAAATAGTAGAAACAGCACAGGCTCTGCAATCAGAGAGTACTGGTTTCAACTGTAGCCTTACCACTTGCAAGATATAAACTTGGTGATGTCCTTTATCCTCTCTGGGCCTCAGATTCCTCAACTGCAAAATGGGAATTGTACCAACCTCCCAGGATTAGACCAATATGTGGCAAGTGCCCAGTATAACAGCTGTGACCAGGAGATATTTACAAAAGAAACTCAAATGCCCAAATGTCCTGTGCAGAGATGAATCTAGCCTGGCAGTCTGGATCCTCCACATTCCAGCTCTAAAGCCTGATACCCACATTGTCTCCCAATGCTCCAACTCTTAACCTGAGAATAAGATAGTCAGGGATAAAGGGCATGCTCTCTCCCCTGTCCTAGTATCTTGGACCAAACCCAGAAACTTTGTAAGAGTGCCCCCTCCCCCATGACTGTATGGGCCTGGGAGAAGAAAGAACACGGGTGGGAGGAGTTCCAGGCCTTGCTGAGCCACTGACTCACCTCTGAGTCCCACCATGAGGTCTCTAGTCTTACACTCCAACACCTGTATAAGCATCTCTTAGGCAGTGAAGGGAGATCCCAAAGCAGAAACAGAAGGTAGAGCTGGGGCCTCAGCCATCTCTCCCCACAGTGTGGTCTGAGTATGAACGCCCCCCCCCACCCCGCATCTTGTACTCTTAACTTCCACCCCTGCCTATGGCCTTAGGCTGAGGTTTAGCATTTGTGACAAGCAGCTCTTAGAGCTACCGGGAGAAAGGCAACAAAGAGTGGGGAGGTACGAACTTAGCCCACCAATCCCAAGTTAAGAGTTGGGGAGCTACAAATGATTGTCAACTTCTTTATTTTTGCCAAAGAGGTCACTCTCCAACCCCCAACAGGAAGACTGGCCCTGGCTTTGGGGCTGATGTGCCATATGACTGTGAGTTTGGGAGCATGTGACCACAAAGGGCCCTTCCACAGTTAATCATTACCAATATTTGCTGAGCACTTACTACATGCCAGGTATTGTACTACATCTTCTGCTGAGGGAGGTGGTATATATTGTGTCCATTTCACCAATGAGTAAACTAAGGGTTGGAGCTTAGCCCTACACAAGCTAGGATATGGCAGAGCTGAGACCAGTCTGTATGAGACAAGGGCTAGTGCTCTCAACCTTGGCCCAGAATGGCTTTGTGTAAGTGTGCACTGTACCTGCCAAGACATCAGTTTCTAACATCTTCTGATCCTTTGGGGAGAAACTCATGAAGCCTTGCTAAGGGCACACTCTCAAGTCCAAGAGCCAATAAGCACTTACTGCGAGCCTGGGGGATGGACTCCTCCCTCTCCTCTCACCTTAAGGGGCCGACTCCTCACAGTGATAATGTGGCAAGATTAGTCACTGCTTGCTGTTGGTTGATTATAGCTATTCTTTTCTGTAAATGAAGTTTAAAAGTCATCAAAGGGTTTGTCAGCTGTGACTTATGAGCCTCTTTCCCGCAGGGAAGTCAGGCAGTGACAAATGCCCCTCTCATTCTGCCATCCATTACAAGGCGGAAGGTGCCATGTTCCAATTACTGGAGACCCCGACAAAGTCCGCGGAAAGCCCTGCTCCAGGCTGCAGCCATTACTCAGAGCGGGCAGGCCCGCCAGCAGAGCGGCCCTGGGCCCGGGCTGCACAGGCTGAGAATGCAGGGAGAGCAGGCCCTGACTTAGTCAGCCCCTCTACTCCATACCTGCGCTATCCCTGGTGGGTCTATCCTAGACACACTCCAAAACATCATGTGGGCTGTCTCAAAGCACCCAGAATCAAGACTGTCTGAGAGAGACAGACATGAGGAAACAAATAAGGTCATGCTGCTGGTGGAGAAGGCAGGGAATACAATGTTCAAGGGGAAGGGGATAAAACAGCTATGATGTTCAGAGTAGAGACTAAAAAAACCTTAGAGATCATCTAGTACAATCAATTGCCTCAGTACTCAATACCCATTCTATGCTAAGCCCTGTCCAGCTAAATTCTGGGGAGCCAAAATGAATAAAACATAGTCCCTACCACTGAGGGTAGATGAGATAATTAAGGTTTAAAGAAGTGACTTAACCAAGGTCACAAAATAAGTTAGCGTCAGTGATGGAATGAGAAAGCAGGTCTTCAGCGAAGTCGAGAAAGTGGAATGAGAGGGAGCTCTCCTGCATGCCAGGCTCTTTGCACAGAACATGGCATAACAGTCAAGAGTGCTAGCTTCCATTTACATCCCAACTACACACTTACTACAGAGTTGGACTTCTGACAAGTCCTCAACCTATCCAACTCCCAGAAAAATCAGGATGATAACAAAACTTACTTGAGTGTTTCGGTGAGAATTAAGTAAGATAATACATGTACAGTGCACAGTGGCAGGCACATAAGTATCCAAGATATTATTTAATGTCAAGTAGCTCAAAACAATTTGAGGTAGGCTTTATAAATCTCATTCTACAGACACGAAGACCGAAGCTCTATTTCACTTTGACACACTAAGTAAGCCAGTACTTCTCAAAACTACTTCTGGTGAAGAACCACTTTTTTGTCGTCTTTTTAAACTCCCAATCCATTACAGACCAATACATTTGTAAAATACGATAAAAATGTCAAATTACTGTAGAGTCTCTAAGCACTTAGTCTCAATTTCTGTACTCACCACAAACAAGCAAGTTTGCAAACTAGCATTCATCTATTCACTGGGCTACAATCTGCATAGCACAGGTCTAAGTCACGCTCTGCAGTCCATGGGGTCGCAAAGAGTCAGACACAACTGAAGTGACTGAACTGAACTGAAGCTCACTCAGCTCTGTCAAGCTCTATAAAAAGCA